ACATTTTGATTAGTTATTGATGAAGTTTATTATAAACTAATAAAACAAAAAGAAAACTCTAAATAATTTCAGATTCTTTGACATCACAGCTGATTTGTTTGTGCACAAACCAGTCTTTTTTTTTTTTTAATTTAAGCTCTTCTGTGTTGTTTGGGCACCTGTGCATTCTGACCTGCATCGTCCCATCGCTGCACGCRTCCTAAGTGACAGTAGAGCAACTTAAACAGCAACATAAAGCAGGTTGCTGGGTCAACAGCCTCTTCTCGGCTGCCTTTCTGTCTGCTGCGTGGCTGAACAGTTTGAGGAGCACAAYGCTCCTGGTGATTTATGAGATGTAGCCGGAGCAAAGCAGAGCCGGAGAAGTGACGAACTCTCTGAATGCAGAAGTGATGAAGGCAGCTTCAGGATGTAAATGAGGCTGTAAGGGCCAGGCGGGCCTCTTTGTCTGCCGACTTTGTTTGCTTAACCAGAGGCCAAGACAGGAAGCCAACCCACACAACTCTAATGTCGCCACAGCAACCTCACTGTTAATGATGGCGCATCCACTCCCAGGCTCCTTTCAGCAAACAGGGGAGGCAGGGACGTGTGTGTGTTGGAGTAGACAAAGAGGATGGTGTGTGTGTGTGTGTTTGGTCTATGCTGCTCTTTGCAAGAAAAAATAAAAACAAGAGGAGGTTAAACTTTTGTCAACTTTCACTGAATATAACTGTTCAAGATTAAACTGTATGAACATTTTCTGCAATATTTTCAAGAAAGCACGTCCAGTTCTTTAGATTTGTTTTTACTGATTTGTGAGAGAACTCTCAAGATAACAATAAAATTAAGTAGGGTTAATCATATAGCAGGTTTTAAATATTAAAACCTGACAAATCAATACTGACAACCAGAACCAGATGGGTTTTAGTTTGAATAAATTATCAGATGAGCAACTGAGCTGTCGTTCAAGGGTTGTTTKGATCCATGAACACATCATAGCCAAGCAGCCAGTGCTGTATAAAGTACCACAAAGTGATACTTGAGTAAAAGTACAAGTAGCTTACCAAAAATTACTTTGGTAAAAGTTAAAGT